AATGTGTAACAGCACTGAATGGCAACCAGGAAAGCGATCTCTGGAGAGATGGCATGTGTGTAGTAGGAGTGACGATCCTGTGCTGGGGTCATTCGAGAGGCTAAAACTGTCGGATTTAGCTGCATCTGCCTGTGAAATTATTTGATAACACCAGAGCTACATACCAGCAGCATTCGAGTGGCCTTATTAGTGCTTGCTTGATTGCTCTTTTTTTTTACCTAAATTTCTTATGCATTAAATATTAAAATTGGTATTGTTAATAAAAGATTTTTTTTTTTAATAAATTGGCCTCTTTTAATTTTTAATAAATTGGTCTTTTTGTTAATAAAAGATATTTTAATAATTTTAGAATGCCGTAACGAAATATGGGAGTGATATGGAACCGCTGATTGTAAAGGCACGCTGTCGAACTGCCCTTGAACGTGGCGATATAGAAGAGTTCAAATGCGTAAGTATTTGGCAATCTCTGCAAAAAAAAGAAGTATTCTCATTCGTGAAATGCATTAATATCGCTGAGTTAATAGGACATAATCGTTTTCACGAAATCAAAAAAATTCATGAATGACAGAGCAGCCCAAAATAATGCTCAGTTTGTGTCGTATTTGTTGGATTGCGCTGATGGTGACTTCTGAGTCGGTTGTTGTCGTAAAATTAAAAATTTCTTATTTTATCAGATTTTAAACAGTGTGCTATCGTCTGGTCCAACAACCAGCGGTTTTACGAACGAGTTTGTGCTGGAGCTGGTTTGGCTGCTTGCACGGAAAAGCGCCGATCCATTAGGCAAAGAACATCATCGTCTTTGCAGTGAGGTCAGTTCCAGCAATTTTTTTTTTTTTTTGATTCCAGACAGTACCAAAAAGTCGGAAATCTCTCCGCTTTTCATTTTCCATGAGCGATGGATATAAAATGGGGGTTGGGTCTGGCATGAAGTCATTTGTTGCAGATACTTGGACGAGTAAAAAAAGAGCACGGCTTTTTGAAACTGATGGTTCGAGAAGCGGATCGGCATGCTGCACACGGATTGTTTTATTCTGCTTTATCTTACTTTCATATTGATTTGCATAAAAGTTCTGTTTCGAATTCTCACAATGATAAAACTCGAGGTTTGTCCTCCTTCGATATATGTTTTTTCGTTTTCAACCAAAAATCTTTTAGTATGGGAACTGCACTTCTTAGTACTGCATGATGCCTACAAGGAATCACTTGCCTCTTGTTGCCCATCAGAGGAAAATGTAGCCTACATCCACATTAGCTTTCTCTTGCTGGTGTTCCAGATTCACTTTCAGGCTCTGTTACAG